CAAGAATGGGGACAATGTTGCCTACCAATCAGGTTCTTTTGTTCTTGGAATTCTGAAACAACTAGGATTTCCAGATGAAAAACTTAAGACTTTTGGTTCCCCAGAAGAATTGAATCAACTTTTTCAAAACGGGAGTAAAAAGGATGGCATCTCGGCAGCATTCGATGAGAACCCCTACATGGAACTATTTCTTGCACAGTATTGCTCGAAGTACACCATGCTTGAGCCGACATTTAAAGCCGATGGTTTTGCCTTTGTAGGTTCACCTGCTTTCTCTCCTTTGTCTTTATCATGTTCAAACACATGTTTTCTCATGTCATGTGGGATTATTCTGTGTTCTTTCTGTTGAGAGTCTGAATTTCGCATTGGAGAATTTAGTGTTTACATAATATAGTTTAAATTATCGTTGGCATATATTTAACTCCTAAAATGTTTTCCAAATACAATCTTTTGACGCTTTCATTTGTGACTTGTAGGCCTTCCCAAAAGGTTCACCTCTTGCTCGTGATGTTTCGAGGGGCAATCCTAAACGTGAATGAGGGAGACAGAATGAAAGAGATTGAAAAGAAATGGTTCAACAAAGAATCAAGTTGTCCAGACCCTAACAGCCTGGTCTCTTCCAACAGTCTCAGCCTTGAGAGCTTTTGGGGCCTCTTTCTCATAGCCGGTCTTGCTTCAACATTAGCTCTCCTCATATATGCTGCCATGTTCTTATACGAACACAAGGAAGTCCTCTCGCGACTCGATCCAGAAGCCTCATTGTGGAGAAAATTTTGTGTCATGTTAAGAATTTACGACAAAAAGGACTTAAAGTCATTTACTTTTAAGAAGGGTGAACTGGAAGTGAAACACCATCTTCCCCCCAAGTCCATCCGTCTACTCAAACAATACTGAATCACGCATGGTTTTCGACGAGCAGATGAGAACACCTTCTACCGAGCATGGTGGTTTCAGTCCCAGTGATGGTTCGCCCAACGGCAGAGAGATGGAATCAGTCATTGAGATTACTGAGAGGCCAACACCTCATGAGATTGCCCAAGAAAGCAATTGACACAGTTTTCTTAGTTTCACATAGTCGGTGCTAATTATAGATGTAGCACCTTATCGTTAGACTTAATTGTACATGGGTAAAAAATATTGTAAATTGGTTTAGAAATAAAATGATTATATATAACACATGAATATATACCACGGATTTTACAGAAAAACAAATACTAACTATTCTCTCTAATAAATGCAGAACCTTTGTTACAACTGTTGTATAACATCTCAAACCCCAAGAACCTAATTCTGCAGAAAGAGAAACCGACTAATAATCCCTAATGCACCTTTCAGCCCCAGAAATCCTTGAGAAGTTCCGTCTTTCACGTTCATCACGTCATATTGCGGATACCTTAGGGTTTGGAAAGCCGGATCAAAGAAGTTCTCAATCTCAATAACAATCAGTCGTCCGTCATTGTACACATCCCACTCCGTGACTTTGACTAGGTTGAGAGAAGCGTATCCGCCAGTGCCGGTGGGCAGGGATGTAAGAACGAGAGGACGATCGAGCAGGAGAGTGTCGACTTTGGAACCATGATCGAAAGACGCCTCTACTGAATCTTTGTCCATCTTGAACGGCACAACATGATACTTAAATAGTGTCAACGGAGGCTGTCCATACTTGGAGTTAAAGAAAGCTTGGTCTTTAGGGCAAAAGAGGGTAAGACTGGTGCTGTGATTTAAGTTTAGGGTTGGAAATATCACAGCCTCAAGAATGGTGCCTAGGGTTAGTGCCATGGCCTGATACCCTTTGTCGGAAAGTACGCTGGATACCTTCCCCATGTTGATTCCTGACTGTTCCGGTTGGCTCGTTTGTTCATATGGTTGAACAGCTTGACTGGTAACAAAGAGAATTGAAGAGAGAAGAAAACAGATCAGTGCAAACTTGGAATCCATGGGAGAAGAGAAGAAGAAGGCAAAGCTAGGGAGGTATAATTGGGTGCAAAGAGACGAGTTTTGCAAAAAACAAAAGCCCAAGGTGGTTACACAATATATAGTACCAGTACTTCCAAATCCTTCATGGATTCCTCTTCGCTTCCGGAAATATAGATCACAATATTTCACCAAAATGTTTTTGAATGGTTAACCGACATCAGATATGGCATATGCTACTCTCTTTTTTTTTACAATATTTTGTTTTTTCAATTAACCTTTTAGAACAAAATACCTTGATAAAAAAACAGAAAATCAAAGAAATATTAATAATGTTGAAAAACTAAAGAGCATTTATCAAATATAGCAAAAAATTAACCCTTAATTTCAAAAATGTCAGTTTTTATAAAATCTTTTAAATATATCCAAAATTCTACCTAAATAGACACAAATACCCTCAAATTTAACAATCAAATAAATTAAAGGCTTTTTAGCCAAAATGATTAGTGAAATTGATATAACTCCTTAATCTGGTCTTTAACCATTAATGATAATCAATATTAGTGTTCTTGAATTTGACTGTCGTGAATCATTTTGGTCTTTATTTGAATTTATCCATCGTGATCATTTTAGTTTTTTCGTGAAAAATCTATCAATTGCTCTGTTAGTGTGATGATGTGGTGCCACGTGGGTCTCACAACAATCATTTAACGACATGTGGATTAACTTTAAAAACTATTTGTATATTTAAAACTAAAAATGATATTAGTAAGAAAAAAGGCGTTGAAGGCATGATAGAAATTATGTTGCTCCCATTTGCGGTAACCGCGGCGGCGCTCAATGTCGGTAATGAGGGGATCGAAGGGGATAGGGTTGTGGTGGCGGAGTGTAGAAGCGAAGGTGAAGTTAGACTGGAGCTTAAGATGACAATAGTTAAAAAGCCTTTAATTTATTTAAGGGAACTTTAACGAAAAGCACCCGGTACTGTTCACTTTAACGAAAAACCACATTTTTACACTAAAAAGTCAATCCTGGTACTATTCACTTTACCCTTTATTTTGTCCTTATCATTAAAACTCAAAGTTTTCAAGCCATTTTCATTAGTTTTCCTTTTATTTAATTGTTAAATTTGAGGACATTTGTGTTTATTTAAGTGAAATTTTGGATATATTTGAAAGTTTTTATAAAAAGTGACATTTTTGAAATTAAGAGTTAATTTTTGTCTATATTTGATAAATACTCAAAACTAAAATATGATTATATAAGTTCTTATGCAGTTTTGATATAATAAAAAATTACGAACTTTAAAGGCGAAAAAATTATGTCAAAGGAATTAAAAGTGGATCATTGTCATTTTTAAGAGTAAATTGAAATTTTGACTTACGTTTCAGCATGCAATGTATAATGTGGTTTTGGTACATTACCGTGCCAAAACCTCTGTACCAATTACCATACCAAATATTTGGTACGGCAAAATCTATTACCATTAACGTACCAAACTTTTGGTATACCAAATAGTTTGGTTGGTATGGTATGTCAATGGTAATTGCCACTTTATTTTACACCACTTAGTTTGCCCAAAATCTAACATTTTTTAATTAATGTAGAAGTGTAAAAAATATAGAAAAAATATATAAACGCTTGTAATGACAAGCTATTACTGTGTAAACCCTTCACAATTAATGAGAACTCCTCTACTCCGTGGATGTAGCCAACTTGGGTGAACCACGTACATCTTGTGTTTGCTTCCCTGTCTCTATCCATTTACATACTTATCCACACTAATGACCGGAGCAATCTAGCGAAGGTCACAAACTTAACACTTTCTGTTGTACCAAAATCCTCGCTGATTTTGTGCATCAACATTTGGCGCAGTCTGTAGGAACGATACTTATTCCCACTTTCTTCAGCTTTGTCAAACTGGTTTCCACCGTTCTTACAATCTCTTTTGACCAGCCATTCCTCTCTAACATGGGGAACGAAGGAAGCCACGGCACACAGAATGACACCCATCTTGCACCTAATGCGAAACAACGAAAGAAGGAAGGAAAGAAGCTCACTCTTCACGCTAAAGTCGAGGAGCTGGAGGCTCAAAACAACAAGATAGCAATAAAGAATGAGATCCTCCAAGAACAATATGAGAAGCTCTTCGAGACGTTCTACGAAACTAGGCGTACTCAAACACGCGAGCTTGTTGCCCCTGTAGACATCAACCATCATCTGGGTGCCCCCTAACATGGAGGGTCACCTTCCTTCGACATGGGTATCCCTGATGAAGAGCGAGCTAATCATCAAAACATTGATCAACATGAGACTTCTCTCAACCCAGCTGCTTCGACTCGAAGCAGGAGAAGTGGAGGAAGACACTTCCTTGCAGAAGGGTTGGAAGGATCGAAAGCCGTTTATCGTGACTGCCGAGACTTCCTAAAGCAACGTCGAGATAATCCCTTCAACATAAGCTCGAAAATCAATGACCCAAAGGTTTCTGAAAGACTCGGTCCCTTTCCACGACCCAGGCCAGCTGCCCATCTAACGAAGAAACGACAGGTCCCAGATGAACATGAAGGTACAGGGGACTCGGAGGTATTCCGACAGACTAGCCTAGAAGTTTGTAAGGCGAGTCCAAGGAAAAATCACACGCTCTTGCTCAAACATTCCTATATTCAAGAGACGATAGAGACTTACAGAAGAAAATTCCAGTGGTACATGACTCCACTCAGGACCCCCTTGTCTTACAGCTCCTTGAGGAAGTAAACAAGTTGAAGGCCGAATGTCAGGCCAAGATACCTGACTGGAACCAACCCATGCTTAGTCCTCTCACAAGGAAGATCCTCGACAACCCCCCTTTAAGCGAAGACAAAACAAAAGCTTTGTTTACAACTCTATACTGGAAGGGAGGACTCGATTGAACACCTTAACCTCTTTGAGTTCACCATGGCATATCGGATACATACCGATGAAGAGCAATGTCTTTTCTTCCCTTTCACGCTCTCTGACGGAGCTCTAAACTTGTACTGTCGTCTTCCACCCGAGACAGTAGACTCATTTGAGGAACTAAGGAAACTGTTTGTCTCTTAACACATCTTCCAGATCGATCGCTTACATTCTGTAGATGACTTGTACACTATTCGCCAAAAGCTGGACGAGTCACTACGAGAGTATGCCGGTCGCTTCAGCCATGAGTATTCTCGCTGCGCTAAGGCATATGACAAGACCGGCCTCAAAGCCTTCACGACAGGCCTATGTGATTGTTTCTTTAAGTACATGATCAATGTCAACACTTGGAAGACTTGCTCTGAGGTGATGGCACAGGCTTACAACCATACCTCCGCCGAAGCAAGGACATACCAAGGGAACCCCCATATGGTTAACCCTTATCAACAAGTAGGAAGTGGAAGTCAAGTTTTACCAAGTGAGAATATCTTGGCCATTCAGACACCCATTGCATCATCTCCTACCTTATTTAGCTACTCGGTAAGTCACCAAATGTATTTATGTCTTGGTAAGAGGAAGGATTTTTACTCTCAGCAAGCCCATTACAACAAGAGGGATAAAAGTTCGTATCAAGACAACCAGGGGTGAACGTACTGTTGACTATTATGACTATGGGTCCAAGCCTCACTCTTTCAAAATGGAGGACTAGGTACTGAAAGAAATGCTATTATAAGAAGGCATACACATCACAAATGTTTTGACTCACAACCGTTTGAGATCTTTTGTCACACAAGCCATTCGGTAAATATTTAAAGAAGAGGGAATTTAGACAACTTCTTTTCAGTCTTTTGCATTCCTAGCACTGGAACACTTGGTCTACGCTGACCTACCTCTATACTCCAACTCAGAGCTTCAACATGCATACGTTGACACAAAGTATGTGATACTAAGTGTTACAACCAACATGGTTCACATATCGAAAGCATGGATCCTTTCATGAATAGCAAAACATTCATAAGCATCACTCATGTCAATCAACATAAACGTCATACATTCCAACACATTCATACATAAACCAATTGTGCTTCGAAAGGGTTCAACATACTTTGTGTCATTCGACATTTGCTACAATGTGCCTTGACACCTTGCCCTTGGTCTCACCAACTAGGTGATGAAGGAACTCATCTTCATGCCACCAACCAGGTGATGAAATGTACAACCCGTACTCTAATATTATTTGGCAACTTGCCACGCTTATCACCAACCAGGTGAAGAAGGAACTTACCTTCGTACCACCAACCAGATGATGAAATATACAACTCGTACTCTAATATTATTTGGCAACTTGCCACTTTTATCACCAACCAGGTGAAGAAGGAATTCATCTTCATGCCACCAACCAGGTGATGAAATGTACAACCCGTACTCTCCTTCATGCCACCAACTAGGTGATGAAATGTGATGAAAGGTGATGAAGGAACTCACCTTCGTACCACCAACCAAGTGATGAAAGCAATTCACCATTCATTCCAACAACCAGAAGATGAGTGGTACAACTTGTACATGTGAACTCCTAGCATTCACAAATAATAAAAAACCCTCAAGCTTTACAACTCAACTAGGGGAGCACTTATACCTAAAAAGAGTTATAGTCACCAACAAAGTCTTATTGCCAGCCAACAACGGCTTCAATGCATGGTATACGAAAATCAAGCTCTTTAGCCCTCTTGCATCTGCTTCAGACATTTCAATGCATGGTATACGAAGATCAAATTTTAAGTTAAATTTGATTTAAATAATTTTCTTTAATTATTGTAGATGTTAGATTTATTTTTGGGCTGTCGAATCTTTTTTTTTTAGTGTTAGATTTGATCTCATTTCAGCATGACTGTTAGATTATAAGTAAAAAAACAAAAAAAAAAAGTTTGAAATATGATAGTTTGGTAGATCCAAAATAATTTAAGCCAAACTTAAATCCTGGTGAGAATCTAGCCCAGAAGAGATATATTTTCTCCCCATGGCTTATTTTAGCCCAATGGTTGGAGATTGTTTGGGAGGCTTTAAAGTTTATATTTTAAGTTTTATCTCAT